GTATGGTGGCGTTCCTAGCGGCAATGGAAGCTAAATAGCGGAGGTTGGTTAACCACGTGACAGCTTTCAGCAACGCCTGACCTTCTTCGGACGCATCATCCGCCATTGCTGTTCAAATTAAGTTAATGCGCTCAATAGCGACGCGCACAACCTTCACCAAGGCCCAGGATCCGCGTAATTGCGGGTGGCTGGCTAAGGGCCGGCGGCTCCGCACATTGTAAAAGATTATCGCTTCGGGCTGAGCTAACATCAGCTGGGTTAGCTCCTCGTGCTCCTTCAGCCTCCGGTCGAAGTAAGCTGTGAGTGCTGGCGAAATAACTCGCGCTCCTCAGCTAGCTGCTGTTCGAAGAGGGCCCGCATTTCGGGAGTGAGCACTAATCTTTCTGCGCCCGCAGCGCCAATTTCCATAGCCGACATTCGATTCTAGTATTGCTAAGAAAAGACGGTGCAACACATAACTAGAGGACACTGTCCCAGCAGCGGGACACACCTCTTGGTAATAGTCAAAACAACGGCAGTTAAAGAACCAATGCGCCTGTGGGACCCAAGTAGGAGCTCGGCGTCCCTTGCCGTACTGCGGTCCGGCACATGCATGCATGCATGCGCCCTACTTCCACGCACCACGGCAGTTCCTTCGCAATAACTTGCCTATCTCTACACTCATACTTCGCTTCGAGAAGTCGAAGCTTACTGGTCGTTTCCCTCACCGACCGATAACCTTAATGGTGTGTTATCTGACCTGAATGGTCTGCTACCTTTCCAGCCGGTAAGCTTATTGGTCGGTGACATACATTACAGCCTTGAACAAAAGGCGCTTTCCTACTTCACCCCTCTTCAGCATTCGTGCCGCATTCGCGCTGCGCGCTCATACGACCGCTTCCAATTGCATATGTTTCTTATAATTTTAAAGCAAATCGGGTCTGTCGCCACGATATGATGTCCAAAACATCTATCAAACTCCCGATAAGTAATTGGAAAATTATGCAAAGGCATTGTATAATTAAAGTAGTTATTATTCACATGATATAGAGATAATTCCAGAATGGGGATTATGGAAGGTGTCGGGAGAATCGGGAACCGTCTTGGTTTCGAGAAACTACCTCAACCTTCGTTCCAACAGATATAAAAAGCCTGTGAAGGTACACTTTATCTAAGCCGATAACTCGACATAACTTAACAACAACGAGCAAAATCCTCCTTTTATTTTTAATTTACTAAACATAATAGCTTGCTAATCGTGATGGCTCTCTCCACGGTTGTCTTCGCTGATCCTTTCTTCTCGGAGATGGACCGCGCCATGAACCGCTTCATCAACAGCGCCCTTGGCAACCCAATGTCCGGCGCCACGGCCGGCGGCAGCTCGCGAGCCGGTGTCGCCCAGCCGTCCCTTGCCATGGACATCATCGAGACGCCCACCGCCTACGAGCTACACGCCGACACCCCCGGCATGTCGCCCGAAGACGTCAAAGTGGAGCTTCACGAGGGCGTGCTGACGGTGAGCGGCGAGCGGAAGATCTCCCACAGCTTGAAGGACGAGGGCGGCAAGGTGTGGCGCAGCGAGCGCAGCTCCTACAGCTTCAGCCGCGCCTTCACACTTCCGGAGAACGCCAACGCCGAGGACATCAGCGCCTCCATCGACAAGGGCGTGCTCAGGGTGACGGTGCCCAAGAAGGAGCCGCCGGCAAAGAAGGAGCCAAAGCGAATTGCGGTGAAGAGCGCACTGTGATGGGCATTGAAGGGTCGAGCGACGAACGATGACTGATCTATTTATCTATCTGTTAGTGGCAAAATGGCTCTGGGGTAAGTCATCAGGAACAGCGGTATGGGGCTTTGTGATCTTTGTATTTGCCCGGTGTCATCCAGGCCGTTGCTTTCTCGTGGGTTGTTAGCCGGTAGGGAAGGGAATGTTGGAGCTTGTGTCGGCGCACGTGTGCGTGCAGAAATGGACTACAGACATTATTGGCCGTAGCAGCAGCAGCAGCAGCAGCAGCAGCAGTAGCTGGTGCTTGAAAATGGATGCTGCATCTCAGGACGGGACAGGGAAGAGAGATGTTGCCGCACTGGTATCGGTATCGGTGTGGACGAGCACACTGAGTGCTACTGCTAGCTAGTGCAGGTGGTGCTGGTGGTGGTTGGTCACGTCGTGGGTTAGTCCTTTGCTTTGGTCCTTCGACACAGAGGAGGTGTGAAGTCCAAGCAAAGACTTTTCCTGTGATGTGTATGAAAGCCATCTACTGTGGCGGAGCCTTGTTAGTGATAGGACCTGCGCGCACCGGACGACATGCCGTTCAAATAATACCGAGATTATATTGCATGCTGACCATCATCATCATCGCTAGCAGGTAGTTAGGCTGGCTTATGTTGGTTCAGCTGTACGTCGGCAGGGTCGGCGCCGTCGTGACAAGTTGAAGGACAACGAACGGAACGGAAAGCGGAAACTTCATGAATGCCATACATCATATTGCACAAACGAATGCTGCTGACTCTTTGAAATCTTTTGTAACGGAACATTCGCATCGCCCAGTGCTCCCTGCATTATCCACTGTACGATCTGGATCTATCACGACGTTGACATCTGCCTGCCTGCCTGCCCAATAATTAGTCACCGGCAGCCTTTTAATAATGCAAGGCACTCTGCCACGCCTTATCGTATTTTGATTTGTCTGGAATGTCATTCGTGAATATATCGTTATTTCTACTTAGATCCTGATTATTATAAAGGCCATAAATCGCGTTTTACTCCATACATACAAATGCATATAATTCCTTGCGATGTATCGTTAGCGTGAGTTAAAGTAGCTTTAAAATGCAATTCTCAATTCAGCGTAAGATGCATGTTCAGTTCATTACGCGACACGACGCGTAATGACTGACTGACTGTCAGACAGCAGTGAGGACCCCACGCAGCCTCAACCCTCCGAAAGATGGTTCGCACCCGAAGCCCTCCTCGCCCCAAAACGACTCATCAGATGCCACAGAGCCCACAGCTATAACTCCATATCGACCCCGCCTTTAAACAAGGAAAAAAAACATGATCCAGACCAGAAAGAAAATCCATCCAGACCACATCGACATCGTGCCGACATCCAACCATCCAACAGCACCCCCCAAACAGTATTCACCAGTACGATATCTACTAGAACAAATTGCACAAAAGGCGATAGACACCAACACTCGACACCGCTGTGTCGTACCCTCCTGCAGCTCCGTATGCGACCACAGCAACCAACTTGCCAACAGACTGGTATAAATCCTCCTCCCCCGCCCCGCCATGCCAGCCGCTCCTCTTTTACCAGCCTACCAGCACTCGCACTGGTGCAGGTCAGAGAGGGGCGTTGTAAGCCCATCATGTTATGTCATGTCACATCACGTCACGTCTCGTCGTGCCTCTTATTCGCCGCCGCCGGGGGGTGAAATCACCACCTATAATAAATCGCCGCACCTGGCTCCTAATGCACTCACGAAGCAATCAAGACATTTCCGAGCAGACAAAACACACCAGGTGCCACGGACTCATCACACAGCTAACTAATCGGCCCATATACCTCCCGGACCAACCATCCAACCGTCATGCCGTACGTCCATGTACGAAACGTCGTCATTACACAAAGGTAACGCCATCCCCGGGCACCACCTCGCCTAGTACGAAGGCCTCGGGCGCTAGCTGCCGCACCTCATCCACCTTAGCGGGGTCCACCACTACAACCAGACCCACCCCCAGGTTGAACGTGCGCCGCATATCCGCAGTGGGAACCTGTGTTTGGGAAGTGGGGTGGGGGGTTGAGAGGGTTTTTTTGTTGCGCGGCGGAGGGATTTTGTTGATCGTGGGGTTTTCTTTCCAAATGTTATGATGCGCCACATCGTTGTGGGCCCTCAAGTCCGAATCTCCCCCTCTCCCTTCCTCCCCCTCCCTTTTCTCTCTTCTCTCTCTCTCCGCCACTCCCACCTTTGACCCTCCTTACCTTGCCAGTGTGTTGGAGCCACTTGAACAGCTCGGGCATGGGCCAGGAGCCGTCCTTGATGCTGACTCCCAGCCCGTCCGGAATGACGCGAGGGATGTTCTCGGGCATACCGCCACCCGTAATGTGTACGACGCCCTTCAGACCCACCTTCTCGTGCAGCTCCAGAACCTGCGCATGTATGTATGCAGTCGTACAGCCGTACAACCCGTATATAGATAAGTGATACATACGGTTTTTTTACGGTAGGGGCCATTCGACGAGTTCGTTTGTCCCTGACAATGTTCGTTCGTCCGTCGCGATGTCGTTGCGATGTCGTTGCGGCTTTGCATGAAGGTCACTAAGTTACATCAGGTAGAAGAAACCATGTAAGCGTGACCACGTCATGCGTGTTTCGGAGATTCAGGCAGTATGGTTTGGTTCGGAGGAGTGACCTGAGTGCCCTGCAAACCGTCCTGTCGCCGTCCTGCCGCGCGGGGGACGTCCTCTAAGCTCGCAAGCCGTAGTGGCAACTCCGGCAACTCTGGCAACCACAAAAACAGTTACTGTTGCCCCTGCTGTTGATGCCCAATTGCAGCGGATCTTGCAGCACATGCAACATACTTCAGTTGAGTCCCAACTGTCAACCATCACAACTACTCCAACGGACTGCGCGGTTTGTTTTCACCGGACGGAGGGGCGTGTGGGGATGTGTTATCATTGTTGCGGTTTTACCCCCCCCCTCCCTCCCCCCCACTTTCTCTTTCTCACCCACCTTGCGCACGTAAATGATGGTGGGTGCAAGCAGCACGTCGCCAAACGTCTTGGACGCGTCCCACGGGGTGTGGTCGTGGAGGCTGGTGTTAGAAACCTCCAGAACCTGTGTGATCGGGTGGTGATGATGACGACGATGATGATGGGGTTGGGGGGATTTAATGGAGGTAGGCGGTTTGGAGGGAAAAAAGAAGTCGGGGGGAGGTCGTGCTATGACAAAACCACTGGAAAATGAAGCAGAAACCATAGATAGACGGATAGACAGGGTAAGAAATTTAACGGATTACGAAGAACGAAGGAAATGATGCACATCCATAGAATTGTCAACCGCCAACGGCAGCCGCCTTATGGATGGATGGATACGCCGAAGGTGGCGTTGGTAAGAGGCGTGGGGCACCAGCCAGGGTGCAGTACGGGGAGCCGGCGGGGGGCAGGGTGAAAGAGCCTCAGCCTGCGGCAAGAGACGCGCAAAGCATTAGATGGTCCCGCCTACATCTGGGTCACAGCCCAATCGGCCAATTTCACCCGGCAAGTAACGTCCCCATGCTCTTAACGTTATTAGAGAGATCGACTAACAAGGACACCGCCTTTGTTGCTGGCCGCGCCAAAGTGGGTTGGAGTGGGTTGCCGCGCCAAAGTGGGTTAACATCTTTTATCCATGGGAGGAATTTCCAAGCTGTAGAGGTTTGGGCCGAAATCAACAAGTGGGTGCTCTCGTGCAGGGACGCCGTACCTTCCGTACGAGGGAGAAGCCGTTGGAGTGTACGCCGCTGGACGAGAGGCCGAGCACAACATCACCGGCCTTGATGTTCTTGCCGTCAATCAACTTGTCCTTTTTCACGGCACCGACGGCAAAGCCAGCCAGGTCATACTCGCCCTTCTGGTAAAAACCCGGCATCTCAGCGGTCTCACCGCCCAGCAGCACGCAGTCAGACTGCTTGCAACCCTCAACAATGCCCTTGATAACCATTTCAGCCGTGTCCACATCGAGGAAGCCGGTGGCGTAGTAGTCTAGGAAGAACAGCGGCTTGGCGCCCAGGGTGATAATGTCATTGACGCTCATAGCGACGAGGTCAATACCCACCTGTAACATTTTTATGCATCAAATTAAGGAATTGCGAAGGAATATGTTTACAGCCACAGATGTACTTGCAACGTGCAGCGCAACATGTTCGCGGACAGCTGCGGGACTATAAAGCTTACGTAAAGGTAAGCAATTTTCGTCTTTTCGTACACAGCGTACCGTGTCATGCTTGTTCATGTCGAAAGCGAGCTTAAGCTTGGTGCCGACGCCGTCGGTGCCGGCAACAAGGTATGAATCGCCGAAGGGCACCAAGCCTCCGAAGCCGCCGATGTCCGGGTTCATTTTTTGAATTCGCTTAACCAGCTCATCACCAGCATCAATGTCGACACCCGCCTTCTTGTAGGTGAGGCCCTCCTCGCTGTCCGGGCGGTTCAGCACAGCAGCCCTAGCTGGACGGAAGTATGCGAGGCGAGCACGTTTGCAGCAGCGCAAAGCAATCGGTGCTGCGGTGGGACGTCCATTAACGGAACTAGAGGAAGCGCGAAGCACTGTCTGCTGCATTGTCGCGACTGTCGGCTTTCGGAAGAGGTAAACAATCACACGATCAGTACAGGACAATAGATTGATTAGTTAACTATATGCTTAAAAAAATGACATGACAGCCGCTTAATCAAAGGTTCTGGGGCCGCCTTCACGTGCGGAACATCCGTACGGTGTGGGGGAGCAGGGTACGGCGGCGTGGCAAGAAACACCTTGCGTGGACACGCATTCCGTGACTACCGCGTCGCACTTCGATGTGGTACGCTTATATGATGCCTTGGGAAACAGCTTGATTGTTGGGTGCAAACATCTACCGGCGCGAAGGCAACAAGCAACATTCGTTGTCTGAACGTATTGTTCGCAGTTATCTTTTGTTTGCATTTTTGCACCATGTTTTTGCTCCTTTCACTATTCAAGCGATGGCACAATTTGGCCCAACGGCACTCAGGATGCCTGAGAATTGCGACTGACGTTTGACTGGCTGAAACACCGCAATAAAAAAAGTCAATCATTGGTACGCGCCGAAGCATAATAATCTTAGGAAGGGTCCCTCTATTAACAATAGCTTACAGTTGGGATGCCATGGTCATCCGAAAGCCGCACTACACCAATGCCATAGCACGTCTGTAGTGGTATCATACATTCCCCTCGCTCCGTTACGCAGTAATACATGTGCAAATTACGGGTCTCCTGGTCATGTCGCACTCCACTGCCTCCATGGACAGGCCCCCAGCACACACTACCAAACCGCTCGTGGCCGCGGTGCTCACTGCAAAAATGTCGTCAACTCGGTGCCAGCCGCACAAGAAACCGCATAGCTCCGAAGCGTTGTTTTCCATCCAAATGAGCAAAATGAGCAAAACAGGACGCGCAAACCCATCCGCATCCACAGCCATCGAACACATGCTAAGAAACTTAGCACCATGTGCTTCACCTCGTCACCTCAACTTCCTCTTACACGGCTTTTGCCTTCCCTTCAACCGCCGGCAGCTCCACATCTGCTGCCCTCAGCGCATTGCCGCAGTGCTGTTGCCACCACCTCCCCGGGCTCTTCACCTCCTCCTCCTCCTCCTCCTCCTCCTCCTGCTCCCTCTTCACTTCCTCCTCCTCTTCCTCCTCCTCCTCCTCCTCCCTCTTCACTTCCTCCTCCTCTTCCTCCTCCTCTCGCAGTTTCGTTGCGGCTGCGGGTGCTTCCACCCCCGGGTGCTCCCTCACGCACCGCACCACATCCACCGTTCCCATCAACCCCATGCGGCGCCCACTGCTGCGGCAGCTTCTCTCCCTCCTCCTTTACCACCTCCACCTCCTCCTTCCCTGCCGTACATCACGTCCCACTGAAAACACAACACGCAGCTACCCACATGAACACCTACTCAAGCTGCGCCAGGATCTTCTTCTTGCGCTCGGGCTTCACCACGATGGATCCCGGTGCACTGTGCTCAATACGGCGCTCCAGCTTGCGTCGGTCGCTCTCAACGACAGCACGGCGCGTCTTGGCCGCCTGGATGACACCGGGGGAAACGCGAGTTGGCGAATCGGAGGAGGGGCGGCGGGAAGAAGTTTGTAGAAAAGGGTGTGGAAGGGGAGGAAGGGTGTGATGAAGGCTGTGGAAGGGAAAGAAAAACGCACATCGCAAAACCGGTGGTGGAAGGAGAATACACTTGGGGGGAGGGCATTGGGGCCTGGGCGGTGGTAAAGAAAGAAGAGGGACTTGTGGGGCGAGGTTTACCTGTTAGTTAGTTACTCAGGAGGGCACCAACACACACCGAGCGGGGTGGGACGGGTGGGACGGGTGGGACGGGTGGGACAGGCCGGAGGAGCCGGAAAAAATAGACACATAGAAAAAAGAAGATAACAAGTGGGATGGGGATGGGCAAGATGGGCGATTAGAGGAAAAACAGAGGAGACACAAGACACAACACAACACACACAACACAACACACACATTTCCTCTCCTACATGTGCGACACATGGCTGCATGCTAGGGGGAGGGAGGGAAGGGGGGGAAAGACGAACCACAAACGAGTGAAGCTGGTGCCAGGGCAAGAGTGTACCAGAAGGCAGGGAGGGAGGGAGGGACGTCCGTTTGACTCCCTCCCTGCTGCTTCCCCCCTGCATGAGAATACACCGCCATGCAGTTGCATCCATCCCCTCCACATCGCCCCTCGCGGCCCCATGTGTAAAGCGCTCTCTCTACCTCCACCTCTATCTCTCCTCTCTCGCTCTCCCCCGCTCTGCCCCATCCTTCCTGAACCCCCCCCATGGGCCTTATGGTCCCGTGCCGGACGGTCCCGTTTATCCTCCGGGCTATTATTTCTTGTCTCTCCTCCTCTTTTTCCCTCCCGGCCCTGTGGCCGACAGGGGCCATCTCTCTCCCTCCCCCTGACCACTGCAACTTCTTTGCTATTAAATCTATATTCCCTTGGTATCCTTATGGCTTTGCTTCATGCCCCCGGCTCCCGCACCCCTCACACCTTGTAGATGGGAGCCGGCAGATGCCTGTGCCGCGCGATACGCTTGATCTGTACGGCAAAAAGACGCGCAAAAGCGGTGGAGGGGCTTATGGCGTCAAAAAGCGATTACGAGATGTAAGCACGGGTTGTAAGCAGTGCGCTTTTGTGAAGGGGAGCTGGTGAAAGGGCCGGCCGGGTAGTTCTGATACTCTGCCAAAGCTCTGTGTGAGCGGACGTGTATGTGTATATATGTATGTATGTATATGTATGTATGTATGTATGTATGTATGTATGTATGTATGTATGTATGTACAAAAACAACAACAAGAACAACTCGCTGTGGGAAGTTACGGGCACCCATTCCGCACTTCCTCGCCCCGCCGCCCCCACCTCCCACCGCTTACCTCCGGCATGTGCTTGTACCGCTCCAACAGCGCATCGTTGTACGCCTGTTTGTGTTTCTCCCGGGGCAGCCGTACACCTAGCTGCTCAGAGGCCTTGGCCTGAGGGGACGTGCGTGAGGGTGCGGGTTAGGGTGGGGGTGTTATAGGGGAGTGGCGAGTGGGAGTGGCGAGTGGGAGTGGCGAGTGGGGGATGATCATTTTGTTATAGTTATAATAATTAAGTGAAAAGAGTGGGGAGTTGCGGTGGTGGGTTGGGCAGTCAAAAAGACGACAATAAGGGCGGAGGCGTTACTCAGAGGACAGGACCCGGCGGACCCGGGCGCAGGCCGTGTAGCAAGCATGTGTATCGGCCACTGGAATAGGGGCGAGGATGAGGACCAGGACATGGCGCTTATTAGGCCCCCCCATCGAACTGAAAGAGCCCCAACCCTCCCCTCCCCCCCCCCAGATCTTGTCCTGGACTACACCCGTCTATCTACCCCGGGTATCTGCTCCATTCGCCGGTGGTTCGTCGTCGTAACCCCCCCCTAATTCCACCCCCGAAGAGATCCCATTAGCCCAGCTTACCCCCCCCATCCGTCGTCCCAACCTAAGGCGTAGGTTGGGACCACACCGCCATGTAGCCCACACAGCAACCAATCCACAATCAATCCGCAAAGCAAATGCTGTTTTTCCCCTTACAGACTCCTCTCCTACATTTGCACGGCAGCACCGCCGTCCACATCTCCCCCCCCCCTATTTCCCCCCCTTATTTCCCCTCCCCCCATTTCCCCCCTCCCGTCTCCGCAAAAGTATTTTGTCTTTCCTGTCCCACCCGTGCCCTTCCTCCTTCAGAGACTCCTCTACTCTACTCCTACCTTCCAGCACCGTACATTCATGTCATCGCTGCCGCTGAAGACGTAGGTGGCGTCTCCGCTGAACCTCACCGCGAACACGCGCTGCATGCGCTTGGTGGTGTAGACCTCCCTGGAGTGACCCCCGCTTACGGAGAAGATGCGCAAGGAGCGGTCGTACGACCCCGCAACGAACTCCCGACCCGTCGGGGAGTAGTCCACATCCATTACCGCGGAAACAAAGTCCTACGACAGGGTACGACACAGTACGACACGGTACGATGGTACTGGTGATGGTAGTGGTGATGGCTATCGTACATGCACGTAGATACAGACGTACACATATGGGCACACGGACATACATACGCACGTAACGTACCTTGAGCACGCACAGCGCTGATGCCAGCTTCCTCATGTCGAAGGTGTACAGGCAGCAGTCCTCGTTAGCGGCGGTGAAGTTGAAGGGCTCCATTGGGTTCCAGGACAGGGCGTTACAGCGGGTCTGCATGACCAGCTTGCGGAGGGGGGTGGCGCGGCGCAGGTCGTACAGGGCGATGGAGCGGTCGGAGCCGGTAGACGCAAACACGTCGGGTTCGGCCTGAAAGGGGGTGGGGGAGGGGGCGGCCCGGGGGTGGGGGAAGGAGGAGGGGGAAGGGGGAGGGGGGGGGGAGAGGAGGGGAAAGACGAACCACGTGAACGAGTGAAGCTGCTGCCAAGGAAAGAGTGTACAAGAAGCAGAACTGACCAGGAGAGGAGGGAGGGGAGGGAATTTTATGTGGAGGGTTTGAGCGGGATGCGAAGAGAAGCGAAAAAGAAAGACTGGCCGGCGGGTAACAATCACCACCTTCGTGAGAGTAAGGCAATGACTGCCCGGGGCAACTGCCTTTAATGGTATTGGAGCAACGCTTCCTCTCGGGTCCAGTGGCTCACAGCACCCATGCCGTGCAAACGTCGTACAGCCCCCAGAACCCATATCCAGATCGTGGAGTACCAGCACCGGCCTCCCTCAGCACCCGGGGAGAAGCGACTTACCGGATTAAAGCGAGCGGAAGTGACCGTATCAGATCCCCACGTGAACGACTGTATGGGCTCAGATCGACTGTGGTCCCAAATATCGATTGCAGCGCCCGCGGTGGCGAAGACGGAGCGGTCCCAATGGTGGTCAATTCCGCGGAATGCGTTCTTGCCCTGAAATTCAAACACCGGCTCGGCGTCGCCTTGGACGATACCTGCTTCAAAAGGTGCGTATGGTACTTTCCAGAGTTTGACCGTGGCGTCTGTGCTGGCGGACACGCATGTCTCGCCATCGGGCGCGAAGGAGATGCCTTTGACGGCGGCTGTGTGGCCAACCAGCCGCCTCAGCGTGCGCTTCTGAGGAACGTCCCAGATACGGATTTCGCCATCCGCGGCGCCGGCGACAATGCTGTTGACGAGCTTGGGGTTCCGTGCCAGGCAAGTGACACCATCGTCGTGCGGAAGCGCAGCGATGAAGGGCTTGGCGAAGATGCGGTCAAGCTTGGCGGCGTTGAGCGCTCGTGTGTATTCTTTCGCTTTTTCTAATGGGTGAAGCAGCGGGTCGTAATTGCGTTGCACCTTACGCAGGTCGCTTTTGCGTTCCCGTGTATAATCCTCTTCCGAACGGCTAATAACCTTCACCTTCATGGTTGCTGGTCTGGGATTATTTGACTACTCTAAAAGCCCAGCAAGGGCAAAGAGCTGCGCCGCCCGCCGAAATTCCATCTGCCGGAGAGCGATGTCGCACAGGAATTCCTGTAGAATATAGCGTTAATAGTGAGCATATAACGACGTACTGTATCCGGCCGATATTTGCACAGGTGATGTATAGTACAACATTCCCAACGGAAAACCTTTCTGTGCAACCCCGAAAGGTAGCTGCATCTTTTGCTGCTTCATCATAAGTCTGACGCAGCCTTTCGCTCATTGCGTCCTTGTTATTGGCGTGGTGTACGTTGCATAATTTAGAACTAGACTTCCCCTCCTAATAGCTAGGGACTTGCCCTCGAGGGAACAATTTGGTTTCTAGGCGTATGCGTGTATACGACAATTCTTTCCAGCATAAAGGATCACAGGCCTAACATCAACTCGAGGACTGCAGCAGCAGCTCCCGCACCGTATATAGTGCTTAGCGGAAGCACCCGCGTACTTTGCACGTCACAGCTGATATGATAGCGGCTGCTACCGACTAGCCTACCCTTTTCGCCGCTGCCGCCTATCCTACCGTGCGACCGTCCGGCCATCTCCAGCAATCCACCGAACAGCTTCCCGTACGGATGTCGGTGAACCCCAAGTCGTGAGCTTAAACGTTGACCGTTGAGAACAATTGCTTCACAGCCCAGCCAGCGGCTGGGCTAGCTCCGCTCCACACAACCGCGAATCAGCACCTCTAAATCCGACGTCGTCAACATCAGCATCATCTCCCGCGCAACAGATTTACCCGCACCGCTACCACCGCTGCCGCTGACTATACTCCACTCCGACCTCCAACCTTGCCAGCAGCGACAACCAGGACCAGCAGCAATCAACAACCAAAAGGGACCACTAACAACACCTTTCATCAAAACCCAAACCGGGGGCAGCAGCCGGCAGCAGCAGCAGCAGCCAGAAGGCTGATTCCGGATCAGGGCAGCAGCAGCAGCCATAGGGCATGGTTTCGGAGCGAGATCACGGCACTAACACAGCTTGAAACTGGGACATGGAAGTTGAGACAGCGGAAGGCGTGGAGGCGGCGATGCATCAGCACCCGCAGTCGACACCGCCATTAGAGCATCGGCTCTCACAGGTAGGGCAGCAAGAGGAGGAGCAGAATGAGGCGGAAGAGGAGGAGGAGGAACAACAAGCTCAGCGGCAGCGGTTGCAGGAGCAGCAATCACAACCCTCGCCGGCACATGAACAGGAGCAGGAACAGGAGGAGCAGCAGCTACAACCCCCTGAGTTGACGGCGCTACTACAGCCGCAGCTACAACCCCAGACAGAACAGCAGCAACAGCTGCTGCTACAGCCCCGGCGGCAGCCCCGGCGGCGCTTAGAGCCCACCAAGGTATCTGACGGAGTCTCACCGCGGCAGCAGCAGCAGCAAGAAAGTGGTGCTACTGCCGGTGCCGGCGGCGGCAGTAGCAGGGCAGCAGGGGTCGCGGACCAGCCCGGCGCCCTGTCAGGGCCATCTGCTGGGGAAGGCCGGCCGGCGAAGAGATCTAGGCTGCAGCAGGTATAACGGCATTAACGACCAGTCGTACGGGAGAAGCAGTACGGAAATGAAAAGCTACTGCCCCTACCCATTTCTACTGCAAAACCCGCAATCAAAACGCACATGCACACAGACACACACAGCCACACACACACACACGCGCGCGCGCATAGATCACTGCTCAAACGTCTACGACTCGTAGGCTGTACTACATAACCTCGCTTACCCGCATGTGCCGGGGTCCCCAAACACGCACCCCAAACACGCACACCAACCCCCGGTACGGCAGGTTTCGGAGGAGCGTCTTCAGGAAGATCTAGTGCAGTCTGTGGGTTTGGATCCTTGGGGCCTCTCCGAGGAGGAGGAGGCGCTGTTGAGCGATGTGGAGGCGCAACGGCCCGGACACCCCCCCCTGGCTCGACAACAGTACTTCAAGACGCGGAACCTGATTTTGACTCTCTGGCGGGTCAACGTACGGCGACATCTGAGCATGACGGACGCATGCAAAGCCGTACAGATGCAGTACGCAAAGTACGGCGGGGATTGTCACGCACTGGGTGCTTTTCTTTAGAGGAAAGGAGTCGGCAAATATTTTTTTTGTTGGCAAATATTTTTTTGTTGGTGTAATATGAGAGCGTCCCTGTGGGTTAGGGGTCTTAATTAGGATCGGGATAAAATGGCTCAAAACACGTGGATGGATGTCGTACGTACCGTGCCGTACCGTGCCATGTGTATTTCCCGCTTTCCCCTTTAACTTTTATTGTAGCATGCCTAATGCGGTGTATATCCGTGTCTAATCCTTTGTAGAGTATCCCCATTTTGGAACCCTTTTTACTGCCACGTCTACATGTGTTCCTCCCCTTCTTAAAGTGCCTCCCTCTGCCTCCCACAACCTGACAGCGCCGCCCAAACCCAAACTGGGTCGGCCATGCAAAATGTCCGATTCAGGGTTTGGGCGGCAGTGACATTTTGCATGCCGTCCGTCCTCGTTCGCATGACGTCCAATTCTCCCCCCTCCAGCCCCGTCATCACCCCCTTCACTCGCTCGTGGTTCACCTTCGCCCCGGCACCGTTTTCCCCTCTAGTTCACCTTTCCCCCCAATCCCCCCTGGCCTCCACAACACACACACGCACGCACACACACACACGCGCGACCTCCTCCTTCCCGTCGTACACACACAGGTACGCTGAGGTGGCTTGGACGTACCTCCATTCGTACGGCTTTATTAATTTTGGTTTGGCGGCGGCCGTACCTCCGGAGATAGAGCACGAGGAGACGGTTATTGTGGTTGGGGCCGGGCTAGCTGGTAGGTGTGGGTTGGTGTGGTCGGTGAATACTTCGGCGGGGGGCCCCGCCGACACACACCAACACATGCAACTTGCACTGGCACAATCCCCTCCTTCCCCAGCACATACATACATACATACATACATACATACATACACAGATATACACATACACACATTCCATTGCACAACTCCCCTTCCCCCTCTTTCCCTTCTAGGCAAACCCGCAACTCTCCCCCACATACATACATACATACATACATACCCACACCTGCACTCGCACACCCCCCAGGTCTGGCCGCAGCCCAGCAGCTCCGTCAGCTGGGATATCGGGTGCTGGTGCTGGAGGCACGAACGCGCCCGGGGGGGAGGGTCCACACAGCGAGACTGGAGGGCTGCAGGAAATTACAACAGCCGCAAGAACAACAACAACAGCCGCCGCAACGGCGTACGGATACCGGAGGACCTAACGGACATGCCGTACAGGCAGAAACCTTCAGCCAGACGGACGGCGTTGGGAATGCGGTGGTGGGGTTTGCTGACCTGGGGGGTTCTATCTTGACCGGCTGCGACGGCAATCCGCTGGCGGTCCTGGCGCTCCAGGGGGGGGTGCCGCTGCATGCCATTGTGGACGAGACACCGCTGTACTGGGAGGATGGAAGCCCCGTGGATGCCGTACTTGATCGGAAGGTACGGCAAGGGAAAAGGGGGGTTGGCAAAAAAGGTGGGTCAGGAAATGGACGGAATGGAAGTCCGTCCGTAGGTGGTGAAGATGGCTATGAAGGCATCTGTATGTATGTATCTCTGTCCCGACCGTCACGACCTGGTTATTCAACGCTCCTGCCCCTTTTTAAAGTCCCCACCGTGATGTGTGGGTGTGTTTGGGGCGTTACAACGGCCTTCGAAACCCCCCTCTCCCCTTCTCCTTGCATCCCGTGGTTTCCCCCCCTCTTCCCACCGCGCACACACACCCTTCGCCTCACCTTCTCTCCACACACACACACACACCCCTTACACACCTCACTTCACCTCGCCTTCTTTCTTCCCCCATCCATCCAACCCCCAACCCCGACCCAGGTATTCGACATGTACAACACGGTTTTAGACCGTTGTGATGCGCTGTGTCAGCAACTCGGTTCCGCTGCGGGGGAGCTCATGTCGGTGGAGGCGGCGCTCAACGCGCTGTGGGGGCAAGTGTCGGCCGAAACGGCCGCAGTAGCAGCAGCAGCAGCAAGGAAACCTTGCGCAGTAGCGGCGGAGGCAGTAGCAGCAGCTGCAGCAGTACCGACAGCTACTGGTGGTGCGAACACAAGCCACGGCGATCCAGAAGGCGCTGGTGGTGGTGGTGGTGGTGGTGGTGGCGGTGGTGCAAGCAATGGCGATGCGAGTCCGGATGAAGAGGATATGGCCAGGTGGGGCCGGGGCCAGGTTTTAAGGTTTTAGGGTTTTAGTCAAGTGGGGTTTTAAATCAGGTTTTAAAATATTGTCCCCGGAAGCTTTGCGGTCCAGCAGGATCGGAGGAATATAAATAATAATATTTTATTAGAGTTTTGCTTCGCCACAGACCCCGCCCCCGTCCCTCACCTGTGGCTAGCCAGTATTCCTGATGCAGTTTTTTTGTCTTCTCCTCCCTGGACTACATCCGTCTAATCTCGAGTATCTCTCCTTCTATCGTCATTGGTTCGTCTTTACCCCTTCGTTCCTCCCCTGCACTTCCTTTCTTCCTGGCCCCCTCAATATTAATTAACACCGTAATAGCGCAAACACTATAGAAACGAGTCTGGTGCCCCGCGGTCGCGGTCTCTGGCTAGTGAGCTAACGCCCCCCTCCTTCCCCCCTCCAAATCGACCCCAGGATGGCGGACCAGCTGTTTCACTGGCATGTGGCCAATTTGGAGTTCGCGAATGCGGCCCCGGCTGCAGAGCTGTCTCTGAGGCACTGGGACCAGGACGACGCGTACGAGCTGCTAGGGGAGCATACCTTCGCGGCGGGTGAGGGGTGGGGGGGTTGAGGGGTGGGGTTGGGTGTGGGGGGTGGGGGGGGTTAGGTGAGGGGGTGGGGGGTGTGGGGAAAAGACGAACCACGAGCGAGTGAAGCTGATGGCAAGGAAAGACTGCTGGGGGGGGTGGGGTTGGGGGGGAAGGGCGACTGCGCATATTGGACTGTGTTCGTGCTGTGTTTCGTGGGTCGGTAATCAGCGGTGCCGTACTACTGAGATCAGAAATCAAAGGACCAGGTGCTCATAGGCCCGCATGCATTTAGTGGGGGCAAGAGGGGAGGTTGCCTGATTAGGCGAGAGGGCTCGTTCTCCCCTCCCCTATTTCTTTGGCTGGGCGGTTGGAAGTTTGAATGTCGGCAGTTCGTTGGCAGTTGTTTGGCTGTCGTGTCTCCCGCGTGTATTTACTATTTTTTCTTTCATGTCCCTCCTTTTCCCCCCTCCCAACCCGAGACAGACACACACACGCACACACACACATACACACATACATACACCCCTACCTATCCGCACCTCTGCCATGCAGGTGGCAACGGCCGACTAGTGCAGCTGCTCACACAAGACTTGCCGATATTGTACGGCTGTCCCGTGACGGAGATCCGGTACGGCAACAACGGTAACGGTAACGGCAACAATGGCGGCGGCGTGGCGGTTGTGACGGAGTCTGGGGCGGTGCTTGAGGCGACGGCGGCGGTGGTGACTCTGCCTCTGGGGGTCCTCAAGGTGCGTCGGGTGTAGCAGTAGCAGCAGCAGCAGTAGCAGTAGCAGTAGCAGTAGCAGTAGTGCCCCCTCCCCCCTTCAACCCGGGGGGGGGGAAAACGGGGGAGTAAGGGGGTTAGAAATTGAGCTGTTGGCTGCTGAGAGAATGACCCGGTTTTAAACGGTTTTTAGAAGTAACCTGTTTAGCCTGTTTTAAAGCCTTGTTTTTAGATATGCCTTGCTACGTATATATTCGCTGGTTTCCCACTAAAGTGCTTATTTAGGCCTACTTCTTACACGTAATCAGTTGCCTAATTAGTACCTGCTGCTGGCAGCCCGGGGGGGTTCCTCTCATGGCTCCTGCTCGGCCAGCAGGTCTCGGCAAGTTTGGCCGTACATGACCGTTTTGTCGTCCCTTTTTTGACCCTACACGTGACATGCACTCTTACACTCCACGTAATCTCCCCCCGCCCTTCCGCTTCCCTTCTCCACTTCCCGCTTCCTCCCCCGTTCCCCCCCAAAACCTGACACCGCGGTCCATACCACCCGACCATCCGCCAACATCGTACATGCAGACCGACGCAGTTCGATTCAGCCCTCCCCTCCCTGCAGCGAAGCAGGTGCGGGGGAATGCCCTTGCGTGGGGATGCATATTGGGAAAGTGTTTTTTTGGGGGGGAGGGAAGGGAGGGAAAAGATATTGGACCACCCACCCTTCCCGCCAAACCCCTGGATTTCCACCATCTCACGTTTTCCCGCCACAGATAAGTCGATGCTGCGTGTGTGTGTTTGTGTGTGTGTATGTGTGTGTGTGTATGTGGTGTGTGTGTATGTGGTGTGTGTATGTGGTGTGTGTGTATGTGGTGTGTCTGTGTGTATGTGTGTGTATGTGTGTGTATGTGGTGTGTGTATGTGTGTGTGTGGAGGTGTGTGTGTGTGTGTGTTTACGTGTGTGTGTGCGTGTACATGGAGGTGGTGGGGATATCGAGGAATGGCAATTAGGGCCAATGAAGTGATCCACGTGGACCCAGGTGGTATGGTTTGTTGACGACCACGCGGGAGGTATGACGTAACCCACAACTGCAATTTCCCCGCCCTCTTTTAAAGTTTTTTCGTGTTTTTCCTCCCAAGGTTTCTTTTCCACTCTTTTCAACAAAGAATACGCTTTTTTTTCCCTCCAACCCCCGGCCCCGTCTTTGGTACCTGCTCCATTCGCCAGTGGTTCGTCACACCCCTCGCCTTCCCCCTCTCCCTCCAATTCCCTTCACCTTGTTCAACCGCCCGTATCCTAGCCGCTTTATGGCTCCCACTCCCTGTTACTACCCCCGCCCCGACCCCGCCTTCCCTCCCACACCCACACCTCACTGCAGGGAGCCATAAAGCGGCTAGGATACGGGCGGTTGAACAAGGTGAAGGATCGATGTCGTTGGCGGTTGTTAGTTGTTAGTTATGGTTGTTGTTGTTGGTGCTGGTTTTGGAGGGGATGGGGTGGGAGGGAGGAGACTCCCAACTCCAACCGCATTGGCACAGCTAACCAAACACGACAACGCGAGAACGTTTTTGCGAAAGTTTGAGTTGAGGAGTAGTTGAGGAGTAGTTGTGAAGGAGTTTAAGCAGCGGCCGGAGAACGGTGGGGAGGGGGGGGAACGCGGAAGAGGGACCAGAGGGAACTCCTGCAGAAAGCGGCACGGTAAGTTTTTTCCACGCATCCAACTAAGTTGCCTCAACCCATTCTAGGTTGTCTGTTTGTCTCATCATCCTTCTACGGCTTGGCATTTTGGGTTTTACCATGTTTCGTAACATTGTGTGCTGTGTTTTCTCCCCCCCTCCTTCCCCTTTCGGTCAGTTCTACGTCTGTTACTCTCTTGCCCTGGCAGCAGCTTCAATCTTGTGTGGTTCGTCTTTCCCCCTCCTTCCCCTCTTTTCAACCCCCCACACCCCTATACCTCTTTTCGTCGGCAGTTGCTGTCCTTGATAGTACTGTACATAACCTCCCCTTCGCCACCACCGTCAGGCATCTCCCTCCTCCCCCCCGGGTCTCCAATCCTGGACGCCGGCAGCTAATTTCTGACGTACTCTCGCCCGACGTGATTCACCGCCGTCTCCCGACCTACCCCTTGCCGCGCAACCTCCCTCCCCAATAAAACCCTAATCCTAGGTGGCTTTACTGTTTCCGTACGCCTTCTGGGACACCTCCGTGGACACGTTCGCCTGCGTCATGAAGGACAAGCAGCGGCGCGGCGCCCACTACCTGTTTTACTGCGGAGCACACACTGGGTGAGGGGGGGTGGGGGGATGGGTGGGGTGGGGGAGGGAGGGGGGTGGGGAGGGTGGGTGGGTGGGTGGTGGGGAGGGGGGGTTAGGGGCTTTTCTCTGCTTCGCTTCTCTCCCCCTTCCCTTTTCCGGTCCTCCCTATATTAGTTCTCCTCCCCCGCCCATGTCCCCCCTCCCTCCCTCCCTCCCCCTCCCCCTCCCCCCTTCTTTCCCCCCATCCAGCGGTGCGGCTGTTCTCACAGCGCTAGTGGCAGGGTCCGCAGCCATCGCCGTGGAGAGCATGACCGACCAGCAGGCCGTGGAGGAGGTCATGCGGGTGCTCCGAAACATATTCGACAAACCGAAGGAACCAGGAGCAGGAGCAGGCGCAGCGAGTAATGGGGATGTAGGAGGGGGGGGTGGGGACGGAGCGGATGGTGCGGCGGCGGCGGAGGCTGGCGACGACGGAATGCCAGCGGGAGGGGCTACGGCGGCGGCGGCGGCGGCGGCGGCGGGGGGGGAGAAGAAGAAGAAGAGGAAGGGAGGGCTGCGGCAACAGGGAGGTGGCGGTGGCGGTGCGATTGGTGCTACTGCCCCTGCTGCGGCTGCGGCGGCGGCGGTGGCGGCCGGAGGGGGCCCGACGGGGGGAAGTGGAAGCGGGACTGCTCCGAGGAGAAGGCAACCGATGCCGGTTCCGGAGCCGTTGCAGGTAACGGCTGTATGTATGTATTTGTTTGAATCTGAGCCGCGAGAGCCTGAGATGTACATGTATGTGCGTATGTATGTAGTATCTGCATGTAATGTGTGTATAATGTATGATGTGTGGGACAGGGGGGTCATGTCTTCACCCTGTGGCAGCTACCCTGCGATACCCTGCCTTCCCCGGTATTTCGGGGCACCCTCATCTAGTCACCCTAGTCAACATCTCAGTGGATCGCTTAGGTTCCGCACCCATCACCATCGGAAGAAGTTTCGACCCTGACAGGTCTCGATCCCGGAATCTCCCGGGGGCAATGGTCCGTGCCTTACCAGTAGTGCCTAACCTGAGTATGTGTGTATGTAGGTGTGTTAGGGATTTAGGGTTTTAGGGTTTGTGGGATAACATCGCTTAGTTCATGACGCACGCATTGTCAGGCCGTACACATACACATACACACACACGCATGTGTTTGGAGACCATGTGCCGCCTCCCCCCCCCTCCCCACCAACCTCCAGACCTTAAGCGCTGCGCGATGACCCAAATCGAAATGCAGTTGCCCCCTCCTCCCTTCTCTTTCCTGGCCCTCACGTTGTACGGCAGGCCATGGTGACGCGGTGGGGTAGTGATCCGTACTCCTTGGGGTCGTACAGCTCCATGGCCGTATCCTGCCGGGGGGCTGCGGAGTACCAGGCCATGGCAGCCCCCGTGGGCGGTCGGCTGTTCTTCGCCGGGGAGGCGACCATACACAGGCGAGTTTCTGTATGTATGTATGTATGCATGTATGTGTGTATGTATGTGTGTATGTATGTATGTATGTATGTATGTATGTATGTATGTATGTATGTATGTATGTATGTATGTATGTATGTATGTATGTATGTATGTATGTATGTATGTATGTATGTAGGTAGGTAGGTAGGTAGGTAGGTAGGTGTATATGTAGGTAGGTAGGTAGGTAGGTAGGTAGGTAGATAGGTGTATGTGTATATGGGTGCAATTTGCACCGTCTATCCATCCCTGGTAGGTATCAGCTTCACTCGTCTGTGGTTCGTCGTATCCCCACCGCCAGCTCTCCTTCCGCACTTTTGGGACCCCCTCCCCTTTCCGCCCCTCCCCCTCCTTAACCCTCCCCCCCTCCTTAACCCGCCCTTACCCCCTCACCCCCAGGTACCCCGCCACCATGCACGGGGCCTTCCTCAGCGGACTGCGCGAGGCGGGCAGAATCCACTACTCCCTCGCACGAGCTCGACACGGCCTACTCCCCAGAGTGAGTGAGGTGCCAGGGGTGCCAGGTGTTTGCATGGGGGGTGAGGGGGGGAATGGAGGTTGAAGGGTAGTAGTGGGGGGGGACGAGAATGGATGCGGGATTAGGGGGGTGGGGGCCTTAGGGCTTGGTTGCTGTG